AAAATTATGGCATGCTGTAACTTATGGCGTTACGGTGACAGATGTATAATAATAGCATATAGCACGATACTTTGAACAAACTCAAATGGTGGGGGGGGGGGGGACACAAATAAAATTTACATCTTAATGGCCTTAACAAAAACATATTCAATACAGTTTACTGTACTTAATAATGAGTTTATCTCTTTCAGAATATTATGGATGTGAATGTTCTCGGCAGTGTTTATGCAACGAGAGCAGTTTTGCCATTCATGAAACAAAGAAAACAAGGAAGAATTGTGTTTATCTCATCACAAGCTGGTCAGATTGGTCTCTATGGTTACACTGCCTATTGTGCCTCAAAGTTTGCTCTTAGAGGATTTGCTGAAGCTTTACAAATGGAGGTAAGGTGAAAAGCATCTTCCATAGCAACCACAGCATCTCACCTAGTGACCAAAGCGACTCACCTCGACATCTACCCATGTTTAATAAAACTTAGACACAAGTTACAGCACCTAGTCAGCTGACTGTACACTTTAACCGTGTTACTTGATTTTCAGGTGAAGCCATATGATATTTACATAACTGTCAGTTTCCCACCTGACACAGACACTCCTGGATTCCAGGCGGAAAATATTTCAAAGGTACGTGTGCATATATTCAGAAGTTAAATTTTATTTTGATTTTATGGAATATTTTTACAAAAGAAATAATTTTATATTAGTAGTTATTTTTGTTCAGATTATTACCATGGAAACATGACATTGCTTTGACTGGCATAATCACCTTGCGCCATCAATGTGTGCTACACTTATCTTGGTAACTAAAATTTAAAATTCATCATATTTGTCACTTCAGCCAAAAGAGACAACTTTGATATCTGAGACGGCCGGACTGTTCCAACCTGAGGATGTAGCCAAGGTCATTATCAACGATGCATCAGTGAGTTACATGATTATCACACGAAATTCTGGGTTGTACATCGTTAAGAAAAAGTTTATATTAATGAGTTACTTAAACATTTGTTTCACTATAGCTGTTCCAATTTTTGAAATAGCAGCTTTTAAAATTTGTTGAAAATAAAGATATTGCAGAGAATATCAAATGCTGACAACATTGTTTTCTATAACAGTAAACAATTGACTTTTCCATGTTCACAATGCTAACGAACTCCTCAAATTTAATCATTGCACTCAACCTAATAAGGACACAGTTTTATAGACATTATTCCTACCATGCCCTAGTTATATAATTCCACCCATGCGTGATATCATTCTGTGACAAACTTATCATGCATCAACCATCCCATAATACTGTAGTTGCTGTAATATGAGATTATTACGAGAATACCTCAAAGTATGCACAAAGACAGTACAGCTGGAGTATCGGCCGACGCGCAGCGTACTGTCTGAGTGCAAACTTTGAGGTATCTTCGTATTAACCTTATTATTTTACATCTTTTTCTGCCAAGGATACACCATGGGAATGGTAAAATCCAAAAAGTTTAGAACAGAATCAGCGAACTTCTTTGTGTGGAGTCCGGTCAAATTTTGATGGTAGCCATGTTTGTTTTTTATTATAAGGGGACGCTTACATGCGTAATCATTCCATATTTGGAATTTGCATTTCTCTATATGGTAGTATGAAAATACCCTGTAAAAATAATGCCAAATTACGGCACGGTGTAACTTATGGCATCACGATGAGAGATGTATAATAATGATAATAATATATATATTGCCTCCACAGCTTGGACGTTTTCTGAGCTATATTGGTGTCGATGGTTATATGTTATCTAATGTGACGTGTGGTTTTTCCCCCGTTACATCGATGATGGAGGGTGTACAACAAGTAAGACAAGCATATTGAACATTTCTATCCTAAATACATATGTTTAGCACATGGTTTCTTATCTTATTTATCCTGAGTCAATAGACTAGTTTCGAGATGTAGCAGCATCAGGCGGTTTCTGTGCGATAATGGGGGTTGATTTTCTAGCTTGTGGAATTTATTCACTGGATTTCTTAGTTCCCGGTGTTCTGACGACCTATCAAACATATATACCATATATGGAGTGTGCAAGTTTTAAAGGTATCGGAGGAACTCAAAACTTGTCAATTGTTCTCAGTGCTTGGATGCCAAAGTCAGTTTTTATCACCTTCCATTAAACAAAAATTGTTCTTTATTTTTATTTTTTAATCAAGAGCTGTAAGATTATAAAAATATTTGTTCATTTTGTCAAATTTAACAAAGAATTTACATAAAACTAAATTGATTGATTTATAAAGTTGGGTCAATGGGTCAGTGCTTAACTGTAAGGCCAAGGTCATTCATATAGCTTTATAAATTTTGAAATTTGTTCTGAAGCATATTGATTCACAAACGTGTTCCAAATTACCACAATTACCATATTCTATATCCATGATCCTTCCATCATGTATTTAACTGTTGTAAATGCTGATATCAATTTTTCTGACAGTTTTGCATAAATTATAAATGGGTTTGATTTTCTGAGATGAAACTTTGTTGCTTATTATTTACGATGGAAATAGTAATATTCTATTGTAATAACAGTATATTTGCAAATTACCTTTTCTGATGTTCAAACTAATGGCAAATAGCTGTTTAAAAACAGGATACCATACATTTGGCAAAGTGTTTTTAGTTTCCTAAAACAAAGACTTAATAGTTTATAAATGTTGAGATGCTAAAATTGTGCGACATCAACGTAACGAACATCAAATTACGAAAAATAGAAGTTACGTTTAATGTTAATTAAAGTTTGAGTTACTAAATGTTGACATTCAACAAAAACAAAAAAATAGGTTGCCCGTAACTCAAAGTTCTGTTAACTGTTAATTGAACATCAGGTTACAATTTGAGCATGGTTTCGCAAAAGCATGGTTATTTTTGTAACTAGATGTTTTCGTAACTTGACGTTCGTATCTCGATGTCCATGACTCGAACAATTCAGCATCTCACAAATGTTCATAATTATTTGTGTGAACTCGTACTCTTGTCTATCTTTTGCGAAAAAGAAAGTAGAATTTGTTGGGTTTCTGCAGTCCCTTCATCAAGCAAATTAATGATATATTTCTTTATTTTTCTCACAGGTAGCAACGATGGGATTTTTCAGAATCATATCGTTCTTCTACATCGGCCATTTTGATAAAATCATCAAGAAGTGTATGGAAGAACGAGAATCTGAAAAAGACAAATAGTGCTTTGTTACATCTATCCTGATTGGTTGTAGATGGACTGACTTTGACATGTGATCATATCATAGCCAATTAAAAGTCTCAAGAGTCTAGCATCTAGTCGATGCTAATACCTGATTGATTCTTTATCAGAAGATTTGTTGTGTCTCGTGTGTGAAGCACAGAATGGCATCTTTGTGGTTTTCCTGTCCGTGTGTTGTCTTCTCGTACTATTACATTTTGTATATGTTTTGAAAACGTTTCGCTATGTTTATAAATCATTAATTAAAGGGCATTATCGGAAATCATTTACATTTAATAATTTTACATTGCTTTGGATTGTAAAATTTAAGGTAAAGGTTGGTATGATATACAGCTAATAAGTAATTAATAAATTAAGTTACATTCTGTATATAGTATAGATGTTTCCTAGTTAAATACATACTTTTTGTATGATGTTGTCTCTACATGGTTGCTTTTTATTTAATTAAACTTTATATCGAGTTGTGTTTTTATGAAATTTAACTCGGTAATCTATGCAGTTTTCCACTCACTCCACTAATACCTAGGCATGAATTTGAAAACTACCAGCTTAATTACTTTGATACTGTTTATAACAAAATGATAACAATTGTAATTGCCATGGCAACAACTAAATAAACTATGGTACCATGGTTGTGATATTACAAGAACACTGTGGGAACACTAATAACCAATGCTATAGCTAATATTTCATTCTTTATAACATTATCAACTTTGCTTTGAGGAAGACACTCTGGAAAGGCAGCAGAACTATTTTGACCGTTTTGTCATCTGTTTTTTATATTTTTGCTCTTGTTTTTGACTTCATTTCAAGATGTTTTTGGTAATATTTTAGATTACGTTGTTAACAATAGTTGCATTCTTATAATAAAAGGGGAAAATTAAGAGCTGCACTCATATAAAACTTAATCTAAATAAGCTGTGTGGTACAAAATAAATGAATATATCTGTATGTTATGCTATACAATTTATATACATGATAATTGCATACAAATTCCTGAAAATTAATTTACACATGTACATCAGGCTGTCTAGGTGCCTTTTACATGTGTACAACCAGCTGTCTAGGTTATGGTTACATGTGTGTCGTCAGCTGTCTAGGTATGGTTTAAATGTGTATAGCCAGCTATCTAGGTACTGTGTACATGTATACAGCCAGCTGTCTAGGCACTGTTTACATGTGTACAGCCAGCTGTCTAGGTACTGTGTACATGTGTATAGCCAGCTGTCTAGGTTATGGTTACATGTGTGTAGCCAGCTGTCTAGGTACTGTTTACATGTGTATAGCCAGCTGTCTAGATACTGTGTATATGTGTATAGCCAGCTGTCTAGGTATGGTTACATGTGTGTATCCAGCTGTCTAGGTATGGTTACATGTGTATAGCCAGCTGTCTAGGTATGGTTACATGTGTATAGCCAGCTGTCTAGGTATGGTTACATGTGTATAGCCAGCTGTCTAGGTACTGTTTACATGTCTACAGCCAGCTGTCTAGGTACTGTTTACATGTATACAACCAGCTGTCTAGGTACTGTGTACATGTGTGTAGCCAGCTGTCTAGGTATGGTTTACATGTGTGTAGCCAGCTGTCTAGGTACTGTGTACATGTATACAGCCAGCTGTCAAGGTACTGTGTACATGTGTACAGCCAGCTGTCTAGGTGTTGTTTACATGTGTACAGCCAGCTGTCTAGGTACTGTGTACATGTGTACAGCCAGCTGTCTAGGTACTGTGTACATGTGTACAGCCAGCTGTCTAGGTACTGTTTACATGTGTACACCCAGCTGTCTAGGTACTATATACATGTGTGTAGCCTTCTGTCTAGGTGTTGTTTACATGTGTACAGCCAGCTGTCTAGGTACTGTTTACACGTGTGTAGCCTTCTGTCTAGGTACTGTTTACATATGTACAGCCAGCTGTCTAGGTACTGTTTACATGTGTACGACCAGCTGTCAAGGTACTATGTACATGTGTACAGCCAGCTGTCTAGGTGTTATTTACATGTGTACAGCCAGCTGTCTAGGTATTGTGTACTTGTGTACAGCCAGCTGTCTAGGTACTGTGTAAATGTGTACAGCCAGCTATCTAGGTACTGTTTACATGTGTACACCCAGCTGTCTAGGTACTGTTTACATGTGTGTAGCCTTCTGTCTAGGTGTTGTTTACATGTGTACACCCAGCTGTCTAGGTACTGTTTACATGTGCGTAGCCTTCTGTCTAGGTGTTGTTGACATGTGTACACCCAGCTTTCTAGGTACTGTTTACATGTGTACGACCAGCTGTCAAGGTACTGTTTACATGTATACAACCAGCTGTCAAGGTACTGTTTACATGTGTGTAGCCTTCTGTCTAGGTGTTGTTTACATGTGTACGACCAGCTGTCAAGGTACTGTTTACATATGTGTAGCCTTCTGTCTAGGTACTGTTTACATGTGTATAACCAGCTGTCTAGGTACTGTTTACATGTGTGTAGCCAGCTGTCTAGGTGTTGTTTATATGTGTACACCCAGCTGTCTAGGTACTGTTTACATGTGTATATCCAGCTGTCTAGGTGATGTGTACATGTGTATAGCCAGCTGTCTAGGTACTGTTTACATGTGTATAGCCAGCTGTCTAGGTGATGTGTACATGTGTACAGCCAGTTGTCTAGGTACTGTTTACATGTGTATAGCCAGCTGTCTAGGTGATGTGTACATGTGTATAGCCAGCTGTCTAGGTACTGTTTACATGTGTGTAGCCTTCTGTCTAGGTGATGTGTACATGTGTATAGCCAGCTGTCTAGGTGATGTGTACATGTGTATAGCCAGCTGTCTAGGTGATGTGTATAGCCAGCTGTCTAGGTGATGTGTACATGTGTACAGCCAGCTGTCTAGGTACTGTTTACATGTGTACACCCAGCTGTCTAGGTACTGTTTACATGTGTGTAGCCTTCTGTCTAGGTGTTGTTTACATGTGTACAGCCAGCTGTCTAGGTACTGTTTACACGTGTGTAGCCTTCTGTCTAGGTACTGTTTACATATGTACAGCCAGCTGTCTAGGTACTGTTTACATGTGTACGACCAGCTGTCAAGGTACTATGTACATGTGTACAGCCAGCTGTCTAGGTGTTATTTACATGTGTACAGCCAGCTGTCTAGGTATTGTGTACTTGTGTACAGCCAGCTGTCTAGGTACTGTGTAAATGTGTACAGCCAGCTATCTAGGTACTGTTTACATGTGTACACCCAGCTGTCTAGGTACTGTTTACATGTGTGTAGCCTTCTGTCTAGGTGTTGTTGACATGTGTACAGCCAGCTATCTAGGTACTGTTTACATGTGTACACCCAGCTGTCTAGGTACTGTTTACATGTGTGTAGCCTTCTGTCTAGGTGTTGTTTACATGTGTACACCCAGCTGTCTAGGTACTGTTTACATGTGTGTAGCCTTCTGTCTAGGTGTTGTTGACATGTGTACACCCAGCTGTCTAGGTACTGTTTACATGTATACAACCAGCTGTCAAGGTACTGTTTTCATGTGTGTAGCCTTCTGTCTAGGTGTTGTTTACATGTGTACGACCAGCTGTCAAGGTACTGTTTACATATGTGTAGCCTTCTGTCTAGGTACTGTTTACATGTGTATAACCAGCTGTCTAGGTATTGTTTACATGTGTGTAGCCAGCTGTCTAGGTGTTGTTTATATGTGTACACCCAGCTGTCTAGGTACTGTTTACATGTGTATATCCAGCTGTCTAGGTGATGTGTACATGTGTATAGCCAGCTGTCTAGGTACTGTTTACATGTGTATAGCCAGCTGTCTAGGTGATGTGTATAGCCAGCTGTCTAGGTGATATGTACATGTGTATAGCCAGCTGTCTAGGTGATGTGTACATGTGTACAGCCAGCTGTCTAGGTGATGTGTATATGTGCATAGGCAGCTGTCTAGGTGATGTGTACATGTGTACAGCCAGCTGTCTAGGTGATGTGTATAGCCAGCTGTCTAGGTGATATGTACATGTGTATAGCCAGCTGTCTAGGTACTGTTTACATGTGTACAGCCAGCTGTCTAGGTGATGTTTACATATGTTTAGCCAGCTGTCTAGGTGATGTGTACATGTGTACAGTCAGCTGTCTAGGTGATGTGTATATGTGCATAGGCAGCTGTCTAGGTGATGTGTACATGTGTACAGCCAGCTGTCTAGGTGATGTGTATAGCCAGCTGTCTAGGTGATGTGTACATGTGTATAGCCAGCTGTCTAGGTACTGTTTACATGTGTACAGCCAGCTGTCTAGGTGATGTGTATAGCCAGCTGTCTAGGTGATATGTACATGTGTATAGCCAGCTGTCTAGGTGATGTGTACATGTGTATAGCCAGCTGTCTAGGTGATGTGTATATGTGCATAGGCAGCTGTCTAGGTGATGTGTACATGTGTACAGTCAGCTGTCTAGGTGATGTGTATAGCCAGCTGTCTAGGTGATATGTACATGTGTATAGCCAGCTGTCTAGGTGATGTTTATATGTGTACACCCAGCTGTCTAGGTACTGTTTACATGTGTATATCCAGCTGTCTAGGTGATGTGTACATGTGCATAGCCAGCTGTCTAGGTGATGTGTACATGTGCATAGCCAGCTGTCTAGGTGTTGTTTACATGTGTGCAGCCAGCTGTATAGGTGTTGTTTACATGTGCACATATATAGTACAACAAAGGTTATTGTATAATTATATTCTGTATAAAAGTTTGATAAAATAGCAACAAATCTCTAGCATTCTTTTGCTATGCAGCATTTAACACAGTTGTGTAAATAAGAAATATGACTTTTTATATGTAATTTTCAAGTTACGAAAATATTTTAAAAAAACAATTATGTTCTCATACTTCATTCCTATTTTTTTCATAATGTATTAAAATGATCATTATTACATATGCTGCATTTTCACTTGATTTTCTCATTAAAATATCGTTCACACATGATCATAAATGATGTTTCATGCTATATTTAGAAAAATTAAAGCAACAATAACTGTAACTATCAAACTTTTTTTTCTGATTTTTATTTTTAATAAAACATTTCCTACATACCAATGTTGTACGTTAAATCATTTGCAAGTGAAAGAAGATGGTCATGTGGTATAGCATCATGGTCTCCATAGGGTGGCATCTATTGAAATTCCATCTCTGGTTCCCATCCTGTGGTCGATCTCAATGAAAATAATGACTACACTACTTTCAGTTCACACATTGCCTTACAGGTGACATTAGCTTTGTGTACCCTATAATTTGTCCATACAATTGGGTATAAAACAAATTTTAGGTAAGATTTGGTAATTTTTATGTAGTTATATTTAAATCAACAAATTTTAGCTGCAAAGCACACATGTGAGGCAATGCGTTTGGTGTGTCTGTTTGTGTGAACAAAAGCTTCTGAGCAGATTTTTATCAAATTTAGTACATATGTAGCTTGATGTAATAATACATGATTAGTAAGTAATTTGCACATTATCTCATGTCAACCTGTGTTGGCAAGCCCATCTGAGTATTTGCTCGATGAAACACACCCCTGTACTGATCAAGCTCAAACTTAACACGTAAATGGCTGCCATTTTAATGCTAAACATGCATCATTCCGGAATTGGATCTCTGTCGTACGTGTGTAAATGAATTTAGTTTAAACTTAATACATTGAACACAATTGTACTTTGATGCTCTTCAAAATAGCTGACAGGCAGCCATTAAAGAATACAGTTCCGGATTCATATTTCAGACATGCCTGGACATTGTATCATGCATATACAAGAACATTTGTAGTTTTCTAGGTGATGTTTACATGTGTATAGTTGGGTGCCTAGATACATAAATTTACTTTTTCATTAAAAATGACGGGGACTGTGCC